ATTTACTACACATAGCCGTAGTTCACTGACAAGCTACGCAAAAAAATCGCAGAGAATTTTATTGCGTGATTATGAAATCGAAGAAATCGTTCGCGATAATGACAGCTGTTTGCATAGCTTCTCAGTGAACTACGGCTCTGTGACGTAAATGCTGCTCCATCTGAAAGCATGTGAAAATACCACATTTAATAACATATTTTTACTCTAAACTCACTTCATAACGTCAGTCGAGTGTTTGAAATAAATCCTTCTGTGAGATGATGTGGCTTCTTACACAGAATAAGGCACGCAACATATTTCATAGTATTTAAGCAGTGATAAAGGCATTGCATTATAAATATACTTTATTTTAATGAAAATTATAATAATAAGAACTACGAATTGCTGTAGACGTGTGTTTATTAGTCACGTTGAATGAATGAAAGCAGTTGAACCTTCTGTTTATTCAGCTGCAGCGATAGGCATTTTCTGGGTTTCTTCTGCGAGGCGTATTTGGAGTTTCAGCGCGAGAGCGCCCTCTGGCCTTTGGATGGAGATTTACTGCTGATCACAGAACCGTGCTTCACTGAAAGATACGCATGACAATCGCAGCTTCTGTTGAATCGCGATCTCGATTCCATTTCGATTTATCGTGCAGCCCTAATCATCAACATGAGTAGGCTTCCTGAGTAGGCTTGGAACTAACGACAGCAAGGTTATGGGTATGATTCCCAGGAAATACAATGGAAAAAAACGTATAGCTTGACTGCAGTGTAAGTCGCTTTGGAAAAACGATCTATCAGATGCATAAATGTAAAAGTTATTTAATGAATACTACTGTGAACCTGGCTGTTTACAACTCTTGCTAGGTTACAACTCAATAAACCGAATTTACTGTTATTGAAATGTTGTTGCACACGACAAAAAAACACTTTTGTGTCAACCAAACAATCCTCTCTCTTGATGACGTCAAACAGATTTGGGTCCACACCAAACCACACTAGTGTGACAGCAGTATTAATTGGGGAATCTGGTTGATTTAATTGGCCATTATGATTTTTCCTATTCCATAAAAAGCTTATTAAGTGGATCTTTGTTAATACAATTCTCGTATGACTGAGCAGTATGAGTCCCTGATGAAAAGTAATGAAAAAGTCAAATTAGGCACAAGCAGCAGTCTCTCAATGCTGAAATATCTTGGGACACAGCATTGAGTTCAGTGTTCATTTCCAGAAACCCTTGTATTTTGGCACAGCGCTGGGGAAATAATGGCTAATTAAAGAATCATCATTCATCATCATTTACAAGCTCTATTGATTTTCCCAGCCTGAATATAGTTTGCCATTGGGCTGGTTTTCCAAAGTTTTGATGTGCAGTAAACACCATTAAGCATTAATTTGCATTATCTTTTGTGATGTTTAGGGGTGGATAAATATGAAATTGGTAATACGACAATTAACGCCAGTTTTTTTCTGGCATGGACCTAGCAAATTTTAGACCAGACAGATTGGAAATGTCAGTTTTTTAGTCAGCTTTTGCCATTTTTGTGTGTTCAATAAGCGTCATGGTTTGTAAGCAGTCCATAATAGAAAATTGCTGTGCACATGTACTAAGTAAACTTTTGTACATACAACTTTACAGTATTATAACCTTAAAGTAATTTTCTAGCAGAAAGTCTAAAATTGGTGGTATTACCTGAGTTATTTGTGAAAGAGCCTGGAAATGGACGGGTCATTAGATAACTATTGTACATGGACAGTTTTACCGAAGGCCAAGCAGATGTGCGTCACTGTGTTGTTCAGGCCACTGAAGTGAAGCAGAGATCAGCTGACCTTTGCTTCAGCTCCAAACGGAGCTGCGAGGAACAATAGATCCCTGTCTTTTTTATTGCTTCTATGCAAATCACTATGAACAATGACATACAGCACAATTCCACAAATAAATATATAAAATATAATGTTTATTTAGAGCACAATATATGAAGCTATAAAATGGACTGCTGGCGTCTAGAGAGCTGAAACAGTTGCTTTGTGTTTCTGTAGCAGTATTTCAGCATCTGACTGTATTTATATTCAAAACACTCACTGCACTAGAGCAGAATATTCCTTTTTCTAATGCTAAATCCATATATCTGGGCTGGCTATGAAAATCTTTATTGCTAAAAGGCTGCAGCAAGGCTCTTGGGAGAATATCGCAGGTTCAACTTTCAATAAATGTGTTATTGCATTATTGACCAGACTAAAAAATGTATTTTACAGATGTTCTTTACGATAGATAGATAGATAGATAGATAGAGTCAAACCAAAATTTATTCAGACACCTTCAACATTTCACACATTATCACAGTTTATTTGTCACAATTTATTTATTTGTTTATTTGGTCAAAGTGTCTGAATCATTTTTGGTCCCAAATTTTTATCAATTTTACTGGTATAGTCCACTGTATGAAGAATTTTTGGATATAATATGTCACAGTTTACTTTATTTTGCTATCCTCACTTACATAAATTAACTATCGTGTCCTGCACCCACTAGAAAAAAAATATAAAAAATTATTATTAAAATCTGGTGTCTGAATAATTTTTGGTTTGACTGTAGATAGTAGATCCTCGCAGCCAGTGTCAGGATCTAAGGATTACAAAGTACTGTACTAAAGTCGTCATTTCTGTCATAGTGAATCTGCAAATTGAACACTGAAACATACCTTAGAGAGTCTTTTATTGTCTTTGTGTTATTTTTGTGCATAATCATCTCAAATTCATGCACGTAAAGTTGTTAGATAAACAGAGGAAATGGAGTAGAAAGTTTATTTACGGTTATTATCATCTTTGTTGTTAACGAACAGCAATTTGTGTTTAGAGAGCTTATTGAGATGAAAGTGTATGATTTCTCAAAATTCTCTCAATACCT